CCGAAGTTTTCTTTTATCCAAATATCGTTTTTATTTAGAAATGAGAGACAAGAATTCGCGGTGCGGCATATAATTGCGGCAAACGAACCGAAGTTTTTGTTTATCCAAATATCGTTTTTATTTAAAAATGAGAGACAAGAAATTCGCGGTGCGTTATTTTTCGCCTCTGACGATTTTTAACATGGTCGCAGCAGACTCTAAGGGCAACTTTCACCTTCAGGATAAATATTTTCTTTGTTTATTTTTTTCTTATAATCATCTCGCTATATCGCTTCATTTTATTTATGTACAACGTGAGAACGTCGTTAATAAAGAAAACTGATCTCGTTAAACACAAAAAAAACGTGAATAATTTTTATTGTAAATTCTAACGAAGATTATATTCATTTATGTATTTGCGTTATTATGTATTTGTTATCAAAATTCAATTTAACAAATTCAATGTATTTCTCATCAAAGTATATTGATGTATTATTTTTTATCATGATACATCGAGGTTTTTTCTTTAATATAATTTGTATTTGCAATAAAGTACGCAGGTGACTCAACATATTTACAGAGTGAATCACTTAAGTCAAAGACATAAACGTTTGTTACGTCTGAATAAATAATTGTATATTGTTTCTCTCGCAATCGGTGAACAGCGTTTTAACATCTTTAGTTCGGGAAATAATAGGTGTGTCAACATTTAATTGAATCACCCTGTATATCATCCTATTAAAACTCGCAATGACATCACTTGTTAACTACGAATTATTTATGCAATGAATCAAGCCACGATGAGTCATTAATATGAGTTTTAAGCCCCGCATTTGATTCATATGCGAGAATGTAAAGCGACATTTGATCGGTAAAAAAGGCAGCGATTCCCGCGCAATAAAAACATACGCGAATTATGGGGTTTTTGCCCCGGGCGTAAAATCGGCGCGACTTTTACGAATAATAAGGCTTGGTTTCCTGTTGCTACACTGGCGAACTAGTGCGATAAAATAGAGCGAGACAAGTATATATCTTTTCTCATTCCAGCTTGACGCACCGGTTCGCCAGTGCAGGAGCAGAAAACAGACTTATCGATTGATCTATGCGATTACGTCGGGTGCACCGTACGCGCGCACGATCCAGTGCGAACACGCCTGTCGGGACTGTCGGGAGATCGATTTCGGGGATCCGTTTGTTGACTCGCGCACGAAACGTAGGTGCACGTCGCGCGGCATGTTGGCCTTTTCTTGACATTTTGATATCATTTTGCTACCTGGGTTATGTGACCCCACAGCATGGCAGAGACGAGTAACAACGGCGGCGGTGCGTCGTGTCCTGGCGACGACGCGGTGGAAAATGTGCTGAATGATTTTCCGAGTGATTTGCGAGAGGTAATTAGTGTCGCGCAGTCGTGTAGGTTAGAGCGCCGCAAGCGTGACCAAGTGTCAAACCAACGTATCATGGAACGCATTAATAATAATGACAATAATAAATGTATTTATTAAGTTTGTTATGTTAAAATAACGATTTCCTTCATCCCTTCGTTTCTTTTCTACAAAGTAACATCTGCTGGTGTCCACAGGTAGTGTCTGTCAAGACGCAAGACAGCATTTTGCAAGAGGTGTCGGAACACATCAGGTGTTCAATAAACGATCAGCCCGGGATTCCAGAGGATGACGTTGAACTGAACGCCAAGGGGAACGTCGAAGCTGCTGACAAACAGGATCACAGGGCAGAGTTGCAAAAGCAGGTTGAGACTGGAGAGATTACTCCGTTTGAAGCGGCATTTAAACAGTCGGCTTTGGAGCAAAGGGAAAGGTATGACGTGATGCGAATTCGTTTTGCTTGCGATGATTTAAGCCATTTTTGGCATGAAAAGTTTCACCGTTTAAACAGTTCAAATTTCCAATTACGTGTAATAATTAAATGACCTATGTTGATTTTTAATAATGGAATATATAATATATATGAGTTTATTATATTTTTTAGGCCTGCCAATAAAGGTTTTCAATTGTTAGATCTTGACAAGTACTTTAAGCAACAAGCTGCCCTGGCCGAACAAAAGAGGAAATTAAAGAAAGCATCCAAGACACCTTCTGACACAGATAATTCGCTAACAGTTAAAAAAGCAAAATTGCTCAGTACTGATGCAAGAACGAATAAAAGGTGCCAAAAGTCCAGACATGAGAACGGCAAAGATAAGCAGCAGGACACTACTCTAAGTACAGAGGCAGGCTCCAACGTAGCAAATGAAAATGCCGACCGCAGTTCGGAAAGCGAATATATTCCTAGTGACAACGAACTGGATTCCGGTAATATTAATATTCGTTGTGTTTAGACTCAAGAGAGCTGTACTTGATAAGAAATACTTTTCAGACGTGGAGGATAAGGCGTCCAGAAAAAGAAAAACTTTAGTTAAGTCGGGACACACCCGTACAAAAAGAAGTATGCCATTTGTAATTAATTGACGAATTGTTTGTTTCGTTTACGTTATCGCTTTTACTACTCATTATTTTGGTCTTATTGACTTTTAAATTTGTTCAGCTCGAGACGACGGAGATAATCGACTATTCGAGCAGAGGATGGAAACAAATATTTATCCCAGAGACGAAGCAATGCACAAAATTGATACTCTCTTTAAAGTGCCGCAATGTATCTGGGACAAATTATATAGGTAGATGCGCAATTTTGTGTCGAGTTATTTTTGCGCCCGTAAAATATTTATATTGCATGTGCATAGAGGGACTAAAGAAAAGATTTATGTTTCATATTTGTTAGACCTTTTCTGTGAATTTCTTCGACACCAATTGGTCTGCTGAATCGGAATCAATTCAACATTACGTTCACTTTAATTTTAGCCTAATATGAATCGGGCATTTTTATAATATAACTTGAATTACAAATTTTCTATACAGGTATCAGAGGATCGCCGTTCAATGGCTTTGGGAATTACACGGTCGTAGATTAGGCGGCCTCTTGGGTGACGAGATGGGATTAGGCAAAACTGTGGAAGTCATTGCATTCCTCGCGGGTTTGGACTGTAGCGAATTGCTTTCTCATAACGGAAGGTATCGCTTTACTTCTCGATAGACGTAGGATTTATATATATCTGTAAAACAATTTTTCGAACGTGCCAGACTTCTCAATGTTGTTTTATTCTTCTTACTTGTGCCCATCGTTACGTTTATGGTGTAAATGCATTTGAAAAATAAATACTTTACCCACGGTCCACAGATACAGAGGATTAGGCCCCACTCTGGTTGTATGTCCTGCTACCTTAATGGAGCAGTGGGTGATGCACTTTCATGAATGGTGGCCTTTCTTCAGAGTTGTTGTGCTTCACCATTCTGGCGGTTACAATGGTAAGTAAATAATTTATACATACACGTTCCTCAAGAAATGATAATCGCAATGTTCTCATCCAGGTGATCCAGAGAGCTTAATAGAATCCTTACAAACTGGCGGAATACTCGTTACCTCTTACAACGGAGTCCTCAGACACAAAGATTTGCTTGTGTCTAGTCAGTGGCATTACGTTATTCTAGACGAAGGTCATAAGATTCGTAATCCGCAAGCGAAGGTAATCGATTGCTAACAATTGGGTGAAATTACTGCCATTTCCATTCTTCACGTTTGCATGTATATTTGTCTATTGCAAGAAAGTCGCAGTGCATTATTTTTCTTTGTTACTAAAATTATATTATTATGTTGCAGGTGAGTCGAGCGGTGAAGCGATTCTCGACACCGCATCGACTGCTGCTGAGCGGCAGTCCAATGCAGAATTCTTTGAAAGAACTGTGGTCCCTGTTCGATTTCATTCTGCCTGGCAAACTGGGTACACTGCCTATATTTCTGGAACATTGCGCGGCACCCATCACACGCGGCGGTTACGCAAACGCCACGCCGTTGCAGGAGGCAACGGCTCTTCAAATAGCCACTATGCTGAAGAACACCATTACGCCGTACATGCTTCGAAGAACGAAGACCGACGTGAAGCATCATCTCACCCTACCGGAAAAGAATGAACAGGTTCTTACATACTGAACGTGTCTCGCTGTTGCGGACAATATTCATTCTTCTTATTTTAGTTTTTCTGACCAGTTTTACTGAATTAACACACGTCTTCTTTCTCAGGTGTTATTCTGCAGTTTGACGGACGAGCAGAAGAAACTGTATAAAAAGTACCTGATCTCCGATGATGTGTCCTTTGTTCTTCACGAAAGAAATAATCACGATGGGAAATATAGAGCCAGGTTTCTCATTGCCTTGTCAGCATTGAGAAAGATATGCAATCACCCTGACTTGTTTTTGTACACCAGAGAACAAGTAAGGCCGCAGTCTAACGTAATAACGGTTAATATGCAAAACTGTGAGCCTTGGTTTTTTTTTATTTAAGGACTCCGATGAAGATATCGATTTATCCGAAGAACACCTGGAGAAGTTCGGTTATTGGAAACGTGCTGGAAAAATGACAGTGGTCCGATCTCTTCTGAAAATCTGGCAGAAGCAAGGACACAGAGTGTTGCTTTTTACTCAGGGAAGGCAGGTGAATGAACATTCCTTTTCAGCTTAGCAATGTGGATTTTATATTCGGAATTTCGAAAGTTTCAATATTATGGAACGCTGCTATAAAATAGCAATAAAACGATCACCATACTTCGTTTTCTCTGTGCAGATGATGCACATTTTGGAGTCCCTTTTGCTACGAGAGGAGTATACTTACTTGAAAATGGATGGGACAACAGTAATGTCTCAGCGGCAGCAAACGATTCACAAATTTAACAATGTACGTGTTAATTACTTGAAGGTTTTACAGTGGGGATAAATAACGTCCCTAAAAAATTAATCCTTCTTTCCTTCCGAAGAACACGTCGTATTTCGTGTTCCTGCTGACGACGCGCGTAGGAGGTCTGGGAGTAAATCTGACCGGTGCGAATCGAGTGATTATTTACGATCCCGATTGGAATCCGGCCACGGACGCTCAAGCGAGAGAACGCGCGTGGAGAATAGGCCAGAACAAACAAGTCACCATCTATAGATTGATTACCGCTGGTACGATAGAGGAAAAGGTTTGTAACAGCAGATTATGTTGCACGAATTTTTATGATGTTCGAATGTGTTGTTTTTTACGGAATACACTTGTAAGATTTGATCAAAGTGACAGAGCAACCTGTTTCTTTCCTCTTCTTTTCAGATATATCACAGACAGATTTTCAAGTTACTGCTTTCGAACAAAGTTCTTGACGATCCACGCCAACGGCGTCTATTCAAAACGACGGATCTGGTGGAGCTATTCAATCTGAACGAACCGACAAACGGCGAGTTTTCCGAATCGGATCGCTTATTTAAAGAATCTAAATTGACACCTGGACCCGTTGGCTTTTCCCTCAGCAAGATCGAACAAATGAAAAAGTTGGCGTCGATACTCAGCAAGAAAATAAGCGCCAGTATGAAATCGAAGCGCGACGAAAATGAGAATGCAAACGACAATATTCGCGAAGGAAAGCACGACGAACAAGATGACAATTCAAAACGCCACGAGGCTCCCGCTATGGATAATAATTTACTTGTGAGCCAAAACTTACCTTTTGATCAGAACAATATACTCGAATCTCCAAACAAACGTAATGAAGATATCGATAATACGAATTTCGATGCAAACATTGAAAGAAACTGCAATATGGAGAATGAAAACACATTCAAAAAGGACAATTGTGAACAGGCTATAACTCCGGTGAAGTCTCTAAATAACAATTCTGTGGAAAAAGAGAGTAAATTTAATTTCAGTGACGATAAAGTCAAGTTATCATCTGGTCGTAAACGTAAGAGGCACAAAGAAGGTTCGCACTCGGACAAGGCAAGTGTTTCCGCGATGTTCGAGGGAGAACGTGTCTCTTGTCTGATAGGTCGTCGTCTGGGACGTTCCAAAGAAAAAGAAGAATCAGTTTCGACCGCAGACGATGACTATGTCTTGAGGAAGCTATTTGCCAAATCAAGTAAATTGATATATATATATTATTTTTTGTCTATTTTTATTTAATAAGTTTTTACGCCCATACACAGACATAATATCAATTAATGATTTACAAAAAGTTAAGTACTTACAGACCGGTATTTATAATTCGTTCTTATTTCGAGACCATATTAAATAATGTCTTAAAACGCTAATACGGGTCTCTGTGCGATTGGTTCACAACATATTAAGACTTTACTTTAGATGGTCTTAAATATAAGAACGGACTATGAATACGAGGCGACACTACAAGTTCAGTACTTTTATTAAACTTTCTAATATTATATGATTTATAAAACTATTTCAGCTGTTAGTTCAGCCTTCCAACACGAAGCAGTATTATCGAATGCATGTCATAATAGCGACAGCGAGAACGCAATGCAACGTTTCGCGCGTGAATCAGCGCAAGAGAGCATGGATTTCATTCATCAGTCGGGAAAACATTGTTGGAGACCAGCGTAGGATAAACAGTTTGGAAATTTTGTATTATTTATTTTTTTTCTCTATATAAACTTTATATGTAAGATTATACCATTTTTATATAACAAATGAGAACGATGAGCTGCGATAGAATCACAACTGCAAAACCTGAAATAGAAAAGGTATCTTTTTTCTTTGTTTAATAACTTACCTCGTGTACGTTTGTTGCACACTTTAACAAGATACGGCATTTCGGCAGTAGCGAAGAATTGATTAAGTGATAAGCTTGTTATGCTACTATGTTACAAATGCATCTGTTACTTATGTAAACGCATTTTATTAGAGAAATATATAAATTATAAATCTTTTATTTCATACATATGTGCCTCACAAAACATATTCTATTCTTTGCAGTGTATAATTCACTTTTCATAAAAGTGCACGTGCAAATGTGCACTTTTATTGTGAAGAAAAAAATCAAAATTTAGAAAAACTATCGTGTACAAATTGTTTTCGAGCTGCACTGTGAATACATAACAGATTAGATACATACAAAGAGAAGAAAAGAAAAGAAGGGTCTGAAATAAAATTATAATACAAAAGATTGCAGTCCACATATTGAATTTACAACGATAATATACAACATCATAATTATGTTAATGTCGCAAAAATGTCTCGAGATTTGGTCCAAACTTGCCTAATGGATCCTCTGGAAACATGATGTAATCCCCGACGAAAGTGGGTATCAGTAAACGATTTAAAATTGTATCGCGCCATTCCGGTTTCTCTCTGTACAGGTCTCTATATTGATCCGTGGAAATTACTACACCTTCACATAACGTCGCGTATTCCAGTATGTACCTGTAATTGAAAAAAAAATGAGAAAGCGCCAAGCTCTAAATTTCTATCACACGTTTCGTATGTTTCATATAAAATAGATTTCTAATTATTTCCACGCAATAAACAGAGAGACATAGTTTCTGGTACCTTATTTTCACTATGAACAAAAAAAGGACAACAGGTCGAGACAAAACCAAGTTATTTTTTGTAAAGTGTCGAATATTGAGATTGACGAGATTAATTTGTACCTTTGTAAAAAGACACGTTTACATACAGAATGCGTGTAATATTATATGAACAAATATATTATTTTACTGTATAGAATTCTTCCTTTGTAGGTAAAGAATGTAAGAAAATGTATATATTCTTCGCATTTATATAATAAAAGTATGGTGGTTGCGTATACCGATCGTCATACGATGTGATTCTTCGCCCAGCAAGGATGCGACTAGGTGTAAAAACGACCGTGCCCTCTCTGTACAACTGCTCGAGAAAGGTATGTTCCTTTTTTCGGGCATGGTGTGGTAAGAAAACCTTTACAACGTGACCCCTCGATTGAAAATAATTTACTACTATTTTGATACCTTTTGCCGAGAACTCTTTTCCATTTGTATGACTAGAATATAAAGAAAGCAAGATACACGCTGCTCAAATTGTAATGCGATAACCATAGAATATTTTGCAATCTTTACAGCTGTACGTAATCAGCCAATTTTGCATCTTACGAAAATTTATCAATAATATGCACTAAAGAAAAAAATAGAATCGTACGCCTTTGCTACATTGTAGCCGTCAACAACTATCTCTCTTAATTTACGCGTTGAATTTGCTTCGCTTTGATTCTCCTCGTCCAAATTCCTATTCCCTTCACTGTGGTGTGGATCCGACCTTGTACTACTCGAAATCAAGTTATCGATGCGCTGCTTCTTTCTTATCGAGTTGCTGCTTAAATCGTATTTCGACAATTTCCGCTTAACAGGTTTCGTAAATGACTCGGGCTCAGTTTGAATATTGTCTTGGAATAGTCTGTGTTTGCATTTTGTTTTTTCTGTGTCTTTCGTATCTGCCTCTAGATACTTGAGATAGCTCAGATTCGGTCTTCTGTCTATCCTAAACAATTCACGTTTCTTAAATTGCTTAATTTTCTTCTTCTTGTTTTTACTATTTAGACACGACCACAGCTCAACGACATCGTCCTCCGTTTGTGCTGGTGCTAGACGTCGTAAGACACATGTATGTACTATTCGAGAACGGTGTTCAGTTTAGCCTAATCTACAATGTGCTCTTTGCGTCTAGAAACATTCTATGTTGTAGCCAATAAATACGTTTAAAAATTTTGTGCAAGTTGATGAATTGTAAACTAGGAATCGCCGATGCCTTTCCACGTGAATTTGTGCACATGTCAGCACATTTTGCATAGACATGGAAAATGTATATGCGTCTAAGTGCGTGCCAAAGTCCATATGGCAAGGCATCGGCGAATCCCAGTGTACCTTAAGCCCGTATCAGACTACGGATTGAGATTGGGATTAGATTGAAATTTGACCAATCAGAGTAAAAGTTACTGCACTTGAGATTAGTAAACTTTACTGCGATTGGTCAAATTTCAATCTAATCCCAATCTCAATCCGTAGTCTGATACGGGCTTTACACATTGTACACTCGTACGTTGTCGACAAAGTTTTCAAGCGTTTCGACTTGCTGATATAAAATAGAGTGTTTCCGGACGCAACGAACACACTGCAGATCAGGCTTTAAACAGATTCCTCTATCGAAATCTGCTCCAAGACCAAGCCGACTAACCTATATTTTCCCCGTTCGATAAAGATCCCTGCGTGCTTGACAAATAAAGGACGGATGCGTCGTTATCCAACGGCGTGTTGGATGGTGTACCTGCGTTCTGTTCGGCAGGCGTCATTGATTTTCTTTTTTTCCGTACAGACGAGGACGGTGTCGAGGCGCTTCCACTGTCAGGCTCCCCGTTAGCTGCCTCATTGTCACTGTCATTGATAACAATTACACTATTCCGCGATGTAGATTCCTTGCTGGAGTTACCCGTTGCCTTCTGTTTAGTCATTTTCTGGACCATTCCACGAGTTAACCTCTTATCCTCGTTGACAATAACGCTCACGATGCTGTTAAGCTCTTCCAGACTAGTCGGGACAAAAATTGCGTCAATGTCTCCCGATACAAAAAAAAAACCCGAATTACCAGCCGTTACCTTCTCTTCAAGCCGTTCAACGGGCTCATGTAACTTTCCTGCTTGCGCTCGCTCCTTTTCCCACTCAGTCCTTTCTTCCTCGCGAATTGCGCGACACTCATTGCGGGCCTGAATTACGCGGTCGTAGGTTCACGAAGGCTGATTTTCGGAGGAAACGACGTCCGCGAGACGACCGTTTAAATTGCGTTCTCGTATCTCTCTGAAATAGGCCGTCCAATCGCTCGGATTTAAGGTAAAATATTTAGGCACTTCAGTTAACACAGACGCGGCGAAGAGCCACGCGCCATCGCACTCACACACCTAGAGCAGCATGTTTTCTACGCGGGACTCCAAGGCCTACTTTTTTCGCGAAAATCATGCACATCCGCGTACACTACTGCCACCAACGTCCGCTGCTGATCTCGTGCACGTAGCCCCGCACGTCCTGTTGCAATGATGTTGACAATGAAAATGTCGCATTTCGATGCGACACTCACAAATATATAACGCATGTAAATTAAACAAATAGAACTTTAATGGGCAAAATAGAACCGCGTCGTGCCAATCAGATTCGTAAATTTCGTAACAATTCGTAACAACGATTTTATAACAGTCGTTACTGACGGACGGTAAACTCTTGCCGGCGGTCGGTAAAGGCGGGACCGCGCGGCGGACGCGCGCTAGGGGGCGCCCGCGGCGCGACTCAATAAAACAGGGCGGCGCGCCGGACGGGCGGTGTTCGCGGAGCAATTGCTGGTTGACGAGGGGCAGCGGTTTGGTGTATAAACGACGACGTATGTACGGCGCGATGAGTTTGACAGCGGCGTCGGCGGCGGCGATCGACACCGAGTGACGCGCCTCCTCCTTCTCTCCGCCTCTTCCTTCTCCTCCTCCTCCACCTCCTCCTCCGTTACTTGTCGCTGCTCCGGGACTGTCGCGAATAAAGAGAGCACGAGTGCGACGTTCGACATGACAGCGAGAGGGATGCGAGCGAGAAGAGTCCCGTGACGAAAAACCGATCTCGAGCAAGGCGTCTAGGGTGCATTATTATGGCAGAATGGACGAACGTAAATTGCTGCTACCGTTGCTGATGCTCCTCCTGGCAGGTAAGAACGTCGCCGAGTAATAACCGCGAAAGAGAAATGGAGCGACGGAGGGAGAGAGGGAGTGAGAGGGAAAAAGGGAAGGAGGGAGAGAGAGAGAGAGGCACACTTCCGTCGAGGAACAATGCCGCGATCCATATCCAACGATCATATGCGATCCGCGGCCGGCTATAGTACGTACCGTGCGCGGACGATCGTTACGACTCAGGGTCGAGTTATGTAAAGAGGCTGCCTCGCCGCTCCCGGTCGCTCTGCACCGCTTCCGCTTGCCGTCTGCGTCACTCGCCGCCGCGCGAGTAATGGCAGATTATACCGCGGCGCGGGCCCGCGGAACCACCTGCCGATGTCGCGACGCGACGTGTCGGCTGTTGTCTTTTCCTCGGTTTGTTTTTTTTTTCTTTTTACGGTCCTTGGAACGCCGCGTGGTCGGATCGTCGCGTGACCGGGAGCGACTTCGGCTTGATCGCGTCTCGAGACGAAACCGAGCGTTCGCACGTTGACGTTTAATTTTAAATTTTACGCGGCGAGGGAAACGGAGTGCCGTCGAAACGAGACGAGATCTTAAATAACGCAGCGTTGCAAATACTCGGCTACTTGTTGCGCCGCGATCTCGTGCCTGACGGAGCGGACCTTTCTATTGCGCGTAATGAATTTGTTTGTCAGTCTACTTGTCCGGCTCTGTTCGGAGATCCGAGCCTGTTATTGACGTGCGCCAAATCGATCGCATTAACGTGCCCGACAGCGGTGCAAGATGTTGACGCGCGTCCGTGAACTTGCAGGATGGCAGGGAGCAGTAGCCGTGGTGCCGATGCGGTACGTCGCCGTGGACGTGGGTAAGGACCTGGAGTTGGCCTGCGCCGAGGAGAATGCCGTCTCGCGTTCCGAGCAGCCCAGCATGATGTGGGTGAGAGAGGGCCGGGAGGACGGGCAGATCGAGCGGCTGAAAGTCGAACCGAACGGCATGCTGAAGCTGTCAAACGTCAGCGTGGACGACGCTGGCAATTACTCGTGCACCTTGGACGACGACCGCGACGCTGTGAAAACTATGATCAACGTAACAGTGAGAAGTACGTTGTCGCTCGGCCGTTCTGGCCTTGTACGAGACAATTCATAAGCACTCGTGGCAGTCAGCATCGTTTTGCGCTTTAAACTGATCCAAAATGTTGAGAGAAAAAAAAGTCACGTGAGTCTTAGATTCGGGGGAAAGTATTGGACAGCAATTCGGCTCTTATATTTCGTAGCAGATCCGAGAATCTTATTCAGCGTTTTAGAGCAAGGACTATCTTAAGTATATTGGAGTGAAGATTCAAATGTCTTTGCTTTGTTTCTTCAGCGCCTCCTCGAGCCCTGCAGAATGTCTGGGTCAAGCCATCCACGATATTGGCCAACATACTCTGGGAAGTGGACAACAACGGCGGATATCCTATCATAGAGTTCACTGCCGAATATCGTTTGAAACCAGTGGTGGGCGAAGAGCCGGAAGAGTGGAAGCCCATTTGGCCGATACACATTCCTCCAAATTCTGTAAGCATCTTGACCTCGAGATTTCGTTGTAACGGGGATGTTGAGAAACAAGAAGATGCCACGAGATAACTCGATAACGTTATATAATACTGCAATCATCGCAATCAGCGTAACGTTATTTTATAATACTGCGTCCGCCTCAATGTCAATTATTCGCTGGATTATGTAAGAGCAAATGTGTTTAGTATATAACGTTACGGAGTTATTCCGTCCCTCGCACAAAGAGAGATTAATTGAATTAAGACTAACAATTGTTTCGTTGCTTTAAAGAGACAGATAGACGTGTATCATTTGGTGCCAAACACTACGTACTCATTTCGAGTGTGGGCAACCAATCAGCTGGGAAGAGGAGAGATCGTGGAAGTCGAGGGCCATACGCAGTACAGTATAGAAGAACTGGGTATTTTGTTGCAATCTCTATTATATAATTACCTCGCGATTCTTACACGTAGAGATTTGTCAGTGGGACAAAATAAAATTCGAAATCGTGTAATAGATCTGTGGCCGAAACTGTCGTCGCTATTGTAAGTTAGGAATAAGATTAAAAGGTAGCTTTCTTATCAAAGCCCTTTGCTCGCTTGAATATCGTGTGCGACACGAAGCCCTTTTGCAAACTTCTGATTTAACTTGAATGAACGGCAATAGTTTCGGCGCTCGTTACATTCGTGCAAAACGTATTCCGTAGAGAAATTGGAAGATGTATCTTTCGAGACGTTCCTTGTACAGTATCTAAGCTAAGACTAACGCAACTTTATTATGCGACGTAACTAATTTTCAGAGCTCGCCCGACACCTCTTAGCCGGCGTAGAGAATTTCGATACGCGCGTCTGGGTGGCAGCTGTAGGTATTGTGATGGGCACACTTTTGATTCTTGGTTTAGGTACATGTTACCTACTGTATCGCGAGTGCAAGGCACCCTGTAAGCATCCTATCTGATAACCGTACCGTAAGAGCTTCCGCTTCTACTCTGTCTCTTTACTGCTGCTACTACTACTTCTTTCCGCTGGCGATGATATCATAATAACATTCATGGCCTCTCTAATAAGCACGACGCCCGAGAAAGTCTCTCTCCATAGAAGCCTTCGTGCAAGTTAGCTGAAGAACATACATCATGCTCATTTAACAAAACAACAGGACCTGTTAGCATCCTAGCCGGCTAGCTGACTTATCTGTGGCCCTGATCTTTGGCTTCTCTCTATTACGCGACAGCCATGTTTTTCGAAATTATTAATATTATGATATATATACATCTCGTTTCTGTATACTTTGAGCACCTTGCAAAACTTCTCATTAGATTCAACATATTTGCTAACAGATATACGAGACAGCATTTAACGGAGATCTCTCATCTCATCAGTTGTATTAATACGACACTTTCTAGATTGCCGCACCGTACACTAATAACGAGCACACAAGTAAACCATCAGTATTTTTATCTTTTAGGATATAAGTGGCACTCATTGGAATGAAATCTCAGACTTCTTAATAGAATTTTCCTGCCGCAGATTTTTTACTTGTCTGATTACTGAAACTTTTCGATACGAATACTTTCTCTTATTACTCAGACTAAATATTACTTATGCTGTACATAATGTTAACGAGCCTGCCGATAATAACTTAGTGATGATGAATGAATAGTAAATATTACGATAGTCATAGAAAGCATTGTGATCTTAGTTAAGTAATACCGATGAGATCTTTGGCAGTATCGAGGTACGTAGGTCAAAGGTAGCAGGTTCATTTGTCAGGCGAACGGCGTTTCGATTGACATCGGAATCTGGTATTCTATTATCAACAGAATTATCGATGTGACCAGAAAGTAATTTGGGAAAAATCGCGGTCGAGACACGAAATTGCCGAGGCGCAAATGTTGTACAATACCTGACAAAGAAACACCGGTGAAGGGAGAGGGTAGAAGCTAATGAGACCCGTGGCCCAGACTAATGAAAATTAATCTCCGTTCCGAAATTGCAGCGCAGCTGGAGGAGCAGGAGGTGATTGAGCTCGTCCCCAACATCATTTTGAATCCGGGATTTTTCGACGAGCGCACCGAGCACGTACCACAGGACGAGAACTTCAACAATCAGACGACTACGCGCCTCAACAACAACAGCGTCGTGCAACCTAGACGGCTTTAGCGTTTTTTGTTCAGCTTAGATCTGCTCTGCTCCGAAGTGAGTAAATTGGACGCAGTTTTCCACGTCATCTCGAATGTAAGTAACCGAATTTATCGGAAAGGCCTCGAGTTTGTCTAAAAATGAAGAGGGAAAGACAATGATTGACGAAATCGATAGACTAAAAAAAACACACACACAAGACTATTTAGCAATCATGGCAAAGGGAGGATACGCTTCGGGAAAATTTCGGGGCGTTTCAGCGATAGCTTGGAGCGGCCCGCTAGTTTTCTCGATTTTTTTCTTGCAATCAGAGATCGAGCGCAAGAACCGGCTTTCATTCTAAAAGGGTTTCCGCGGAAACCCACGTCTCTTTGACGCGATTTTAAGAATTTCAGCGGGACGTTTGTAGAAAGTTGCTATTATTCTTGGAAGATTTACAAACAATTTCAAGGATAAAGCGTAAGTAGATTTTTATATATGCAGTAATATATATAGAGAGAGAAAGAGGAATGTAATTTAGGTAGATTAAAGCTCACTTTTGAGAGAATCCGGGAGTTAAATCTCCCTATCAAAATGTTGTAATAATGTTAAAAACGAGTCACGCGATTTCAAACTTGTAGAAACAAACGAGACTGTCGAAACGGAAGGAATTGAAGACAAAAAACCAGAATAAAATAAAGGTTCTCGTTCTCTCGTTCTCGTTCGATCTCTGATGTTACAACGCAACAATGAAGTGTTCAAAATTCAGATTGTAAGACTTCATGTCAAATTTCTTTGCGAGAGGAGACAATAGATTTTTTTAGAGATGTTTACCGCAGGACGTTCTCTCTCGCATATAGTTTCTCGACGAGACACACTCAATGATTGCTCAGTAATCGAGCTTAAAAGCAAAGTGGAACTCCTGTGAGCCAAAAGAATTGTAGTAAGACTGTAACTCTAAGAGTATAATTTAAAAGAAACTCGAAGTGCGAATCACGCGATGATATCGAACGACGATACTCAAGAGAAAAGGAGGAATAAAAAAAAAGCAGTGTATTTTGCACTTGTTTTGCCCGTTTGGAAATGTAACGCAATGTGCGCGAATAGCATGCGAGTATTATGCGGTTTTTTTAACGTGCTCATTTATCGTTTAAGCAATCGGATCGTACGTATGTGTACAGTATGACGAACTTACTGCCGTTTATAAGGTGTGCACAAGTCGTTGAAGGACTCCTTCCTAGGAATCTCCGCGAGAAAGAGAATCTCTTTTTCCCGTTTTGTTATCAATTTACGCGCAGACACCCCGACTCTTTGCGTCGTTGTGAGTGTTGCTACCGCTCGTTACGTGTGCTCTGGAAAAATCCCGCGAGTTCGAAAGGATTTGGTAGGATAGAGAGGAATGTTGCTTTAATTCTGACAGTACCTTGAGCTAACAATACCTGGAGCTATTTCTTTTCATATAGGCTTTGTAATACTTTCCACGGTGATCTGCATGCGATTATTCGAGGGATGCGCAATATTTGCTTTGCTACACGCTTCCGCACCACCTTAACAACCACCACAGCTACGTCTAACGACCTCGCGCACCCGTTGTTTCGTAAAAATCAAATTTTCCCAAACAGCGACTAAGGGGGGAAAAGAGGAACGGACGGACAACTCCGCGAGGCACAAGTATCAATAAAGTGTAATAAATCGTATGGGAAGAGATACGCGGCGCTCCGCTTCGGCGACACGATTTTTCCGACGACACGTTCGAACGTGTTTTCTTGCCCGAGAGGGAAGCCCGCCTGTACCTCTCGTTAACACCGTCGGAGAAATGAGGCGGCAGGTACGTGGACCGCCCGGTACAGCAGCCTAGGACGCGCGTGGAGTAACGTGCATTTTCTTTGCATCGCGTGCAATAATAAGATTTCAATAATGCTAGCACTTAACTATACATTTAAATAAGACGAGGATAGAACACATTACATATTTTGAATAACGCTATCGTGTACTAGGCGTGGATGAATCTCTGCTGTAATCGAACATTCTGTCGGGAGATACCGTGTTTCGTGTGCACAGAATTTCAGTATTAACGCTCGCGACTAGCGGCAGCCACCGGACGGACGTTTGATTTCTGCCAATGGAGAAAGAATATTCGATATAGGTAGAGGTGTGACATTTTGATGTTATTTGTTTTGGCATTTTTGCGTTACTTTGATGCTATTTTTGGGCATCTTTGGCGCTTTGTTTTTCCGGATTTTGCATTATTTTGATAATGTTTTCGATAATGCCGTGGTCAGAGGTGGGCAGGGCTTCAATAAGACGACTTGGGCCCGGTTTCACCAACGTCGCTTAACTTAAAACTTGGTTTAATTCGTTCTTTGTCTTTCTCTAACTGTTACTTTAGAAAGAAGCAAAGAACGAATTAAGTTAAGCTTAAAGCTAGACAACGTTGGTGAAACCGGGCCTTAATGTTTTGATAGAACAATTTACGACATTTATTAAGGCCAAACATATGTTAAAAAATGTAACATAAAACATAACATAACATATTAGAGTAGCATGGAACAAATTACTGAAATTACATATCATTTTCAGGCTATAAAAGCAGTAACATGTCTAAAAAAAGGAAACGAAAACTAGCCTTAGGCATAAATCTCTTTGGTTTAGGATACAACATTGACGTCAGAAATGTTTACTAAGAAAAATTGCGATTTTTTACGTTATTTGGACGCTATTTTGCATGTTGAGAATCATTTTGCGTTATTTTGCGTTTTAAAAACGTGTTGAAACGAAGTTGGGGACTCCAAAATGTAAAGAAATTACATTAAAAACGTTCCTGGGGCATTTTGCGATATTTTGCTTATAAAAATAACATCAAAATGTCACACCTCTAGATATAGGGCAGCAGTCGGTCTCGATGAATACGTTGCTCCTGTACATCCGTTACACTTATTCCCGTTGCTTTAATTAACCGCACTCGATCGTTTGCCGGAGAAAACGCAACACTTTGAGGTATTTGTTCAGCATGATTCGTATATATAATTTGCAAACAGTTGCTATGTGCGATAATTTGAACGTTCCTCTTCTTTCTGTTCGGCGAGAAGCGCAATGTCTCAATTGTAGTTATTAAATTCACACAGTGGCACACGTATAAGTTTCGAGTCAACTTTAAGGTGACGAGACACTATAATGCACGCAGGTTGTATAAAAATTGGTTGTGCGTTGTTACATTGAGGCTTTTGGATCCGCTTCTCCTTTTAACTCCATCCTCGAGTGCACAGTACACGTAGGTGTACGTGTGTGTAAGAGAATGGCGATATATACGAGAGCGAGCGGATCGACATTCAGCTTCGTACTATGCACTCTGTGTTGTGAATGGTATAGATATATACATATACATATAAGGAAATAATACAATAATAATTATAATGATATGAAAATACGTGTATATGTATACATACATATATAATATATTTATATAACCGAGGCATCATGCTAATTTAGGCGTAAGTAAAGACAATTTTTTATATACATTACGATTATGCTGAAACCTGATGATAATATTTATCTATGTATGTCGAGACAGACGATAACTCTACGACGCGCTACTACGTCTTGCTTTGCTAATCGAAGAATCTCGCTCACGAAAGTTACTTACGTAGTGCATCCCTCCTTAATTTGCCACAGAAGAGTCGTATTGTTTCTCCCCGGCGACGCCAGAAATACCAAGAATCGCCCAGGGCGGTGTAACGTTAGACCGAAAATCACGATAGTGCGCACGGAGAGAGTTGTCTCTTGAAATTTATCCGGAAAATCGTGTAATCGTGGCTCGTGGCATTTTGAACAACTGTAGGAGAGCTTTCTGAAATTTTACCATACGTTTGCTAGTAAGATGTATAGTAAAATTTCCAAAAACTCTCATAAAGTTCTCCACAAATGCCCACGATTTTCAGGATAAATTTTAAGAGAAAATTCTCTCCGCGTAGATTTTTAACACAATTATAAATTTGATTCAATTTTAATTATATATAATGTGAATTATATATAATATAGTAATTATGGCTAATAAATATAATTGTAGGGTTGTCAATTTCTGTAATGATATCTGGCTGAGCATTTAATTCTACTGCGATTTGCAAGGGGCCGTCTGATTCTTCAACCGATACGACTCTTCATTCCCGATATTAGAGATTTTAGGTGTAGCCCTTTTGCTTTTTGACAAAATGTAATGTTAAACATACCTAATGCCTATAGCGAAAATTACTAAGGAGAACCGCTTTATCTCGGAGAGACGAAACGGCGCAATAGTGTAATCCAACAAAAATTATTCTTATAACTACTACTAAGCTGACATAAAGATTACGATAACGAACTTTAAAAAGCATCGTGCGTCATGGAATTTCTGCCATTGTACTGTGTGGAGGGAGTAGCATATCTACACGCATACAAAAAACGTATCCGTGCGACGGAGATTATTTTTCTTATATAGAAAACGCGTCCGCTGCAAATCTTATCACTATAGTAAGCGAGAAATGAATAATGTCATTCTGACGGATGATGAATTGACATACACCAACCGCGCTTTATATATATTTACATAGCAAATATATTTTCTATTCCTTTCTACAGTTAGGATCGTATAAGAAAATCGCCGATGATAGATGGACGCGGGCAAAAGTGAATTAGGGATCACAATGTGGAGGGAAATATTTCATGATGTGATGAGATTACACGATTGCGAGTGCAAACGTATACCTACAGTAATAATGGCAGATATTTTATATTCATATCATAAACACAATAATAATCTGTGTGCTAACGTAGTAATCCCCGGTAGGCGCAATTTTCACCACGTTCGTAATTTTTAAGGTGAGGCAATCGAAAAAAAAAAAGGACAATCCTGAGAGAGTGACTTCTTACGGGTAACTCTCCGATTTTTTTATTTCATATTATCGCCGGTGCTTTCGTAGTATTTTTTTCTAATCTGTATACCGTTTATTAAATTCTAACGCATCGTTTTGTTGTAAAATGCTAGAGACAGAGTCCACTTTCTCTTTTCCAAAAAGTTCTGAAAATCTTCCCAACGCTGGAAAGAGCAATTTATTTGGGATCGTTTTCTAGATTCGATTTTTCACGTCTTGCGACATAATTTTTTCTTCATTATCGATGCCTTATCTTAGTTTTTTTTCCTTTTCTTTCCCCTCCCCGAATTAAGTCTCTCGCATCAACGTTTTTATCCTCTTGCGCGAATAGCTCTCCCCGCTTCTCTAAAGTTCGTTTTCACCCGTTCGCCTGCGTACACTATCGTTTGTATAACGCTTATGTAACAGCACCGCCGCGTTAGATGTGCGCTGCAACTAATCGTTCTCGTATCGATATACCTTGCATAATTATTCCCGATATACCTCGATGATTAGTGCACTCTTCGATGAAACGTATATATTAAGCGAAGCACAATGCCAATAGAATAGTATGTTTAATGGTTGCTAGTGCCACCATGTATCGTCCCTAACATACATATTTAATGCCTGCCTAATTACATCCCGATATGCGATGAACGTACGTGTGTGGTTTCTACGGAAAAAAAAGAGAGGAAAAAGAAAACGTTACGGCTTCTTCCATGTTATGACAGAATGTATCGATAGTTTCATAGTAGATAATTAATGTCAGATACCGGATGTTTTCCCTCCCTCTTACTGTGTAACTAGCAAACTTTCTTTGTTCCCATCTCGTGAAAATTACACTTGCCGCATATCGCCGGCGCGGTACCGTTCGTTTAAATCCATTGAGGACATCGCGGAGACAGTAGCAAAGAAAGAAAAGTATTACAGCAGATACTGTCGCAAGTTATTTGTGTCGCGTACGCATAATTCGACTCGATTATCAGTATATTATTATGATTAGTATTGAAATTAGTATTCGGGATCGGATTCTAGGACATTCCGAGGCGTGGGAAAGAAGTAGTTAGAATTATCTTGTAATAATAGCACTTAGTTCCGATTAATTCTAAGAATTGATAATTGTAAATATGAATCTTCTGGAAATGTGATTACGTTTTGTAACGTGTCATAATTTAAAAAATGTACATTTAATACTATTTATAATTAATTGGAGCTTTAACTAGTCAGAGGGGCAACTTTTAAGTTATAATCACTTCTGAGATCTGTTTTACATCCTTAGTCTTCTACTTCCTTGCTTGTAGAAAAGATTCTTCTTTTTTTTTTAATTCTTCGCTTCCTCGTTTAGCAAAGACCCTCTTGGATCGAATCCTTATTTTTTAGGTCTGTAATATCGGATAGTGAGAAAAAAAATCCGATCCTGAATGTGTCACAATGTATTCTTTTATAGCATTTAGATGACGTCTTATAGAATTTTATTTTAGTACAGCGCTGTGAGATGAAGAGTAGGGGCCATAAAATGACCAAAAAGAATATAGTTTAGCTTTAATAAGTATACTTCTGTCGTTAATATTGTTGTTTTAGTTTGATAGATCTTTCATTGTTTATTTTTTTGCGTATATACTCTGTTGCGTTTATGAATATTGTTTTCCTTCTGTTTGAATTTAATCTATATTATACGAGGCCTGTCCGGAAAGTATCCGACCACGTGCTGCAGCACGAGAAAAAGCTGAATCTGATCAATGGCGACGATCTCCCCTTCAAAGTACTCCCCTTTGGAAGCTACAACCTTCTTCCAGGGATTCCCCCGCTTTCGGAAACACTTCTTGTATTCAGCTTTCGGAATAGCTAACAGCCGCTTCGTCGCGTTCCTTTTTATTTCCTCCACGTCATCGAGTCTTCTTCCCTTAAGAGGATTCCTCAATTTGGGGAACAGTCGGAAGTCGCAGGGAGCCAAGTCAGGACTGTATGTGGGCTGACAAAGCTGAACAATGCCGTGTTCCCCAACCAAAGGTCCCCCCTAAAAGATGAATAGCTATTTTTAACAATAGCACACCCAGGTACGAGGTTAGAGCACACGGTTGGATACTTTCCGGACAGACCTCGTATATTATTTTACCATCAAAAGTAGTAGACGTGCGTTTAGCGAGTTAGTTGTTATTTGTTGTTTATTGGCGCAAAAACGTTCTCTGTGCGACGCCGAGAGTTAGAAAATCATGGGCTATTCGATAACGTCTTTCAGTAGTTTTATATTTAAAAAAAAACGCAACATCCACTCAGAGATGAAAAGAAATGGAGAGGATTAATATTAATTTTGTTACTTTCTCTTTGTTGACAATAGGAGCGATGTTTTGAGATTGTTTTACCGACGTTTTTCTTGCGTATGCGCTTTAATTAGAAGGCGACGGCAATGAATACATTCCACCGAGTACAAAGACACCCTCTGTGCAATCTTTGATTAAACGAAAATTATGCGGAGACGCAACGGTATATGTATTTCCTGAATTGCGCGTTGTTTTTCGAGTAACATTTTGTAAGATGAAAGTAATGGTTGTGCTTGAGTGCAAATACCGTCATTGTCTAGGCCGTTACAGGCAGATAACATCGTATATAGTCGCGCACGGCTCGCGCGAGCCGAGGAGAGCATTACACTAGGCACATATCAGCGAGATGTAATGGAAATTATCATAATAGCGGCGCTCTGCACACTGTATCTTTATATCGATACCGTTTGCGATCGTTAGTATAATACGATATGTGTAATATCCGAATGTCAAGTCTCTTTTGTTAAAGCGAAATTAAACAGTGAATTTCCTACGAAGCGAGTCGTTTCTTTCACTTCTAATCGCTGGATTACATTGTTCCGCGCTACAATCGTACACTCACCGCTTCCACTGTATATGTACACCTATACGATAACGTCTTTTTAGTAATAATTGTACCTACACGTTTAGCCCACGGTCGTCACAATGGTTGTCTCAATCTACAATAGTCCTACATATGAAATATCGATTAAGAAAACTTCCAGATTTATTTACACAACTTATTACTAATATTGGTACAATAATAAATGTAACTGTCATTGATAAGCGAGTGGTCATTGTTTTGCATGCCAGGGTGGGGCCGGCCCGAAAATGCCTTTGCTCTAATTCAAGGCTGCGACTCTCCAATTTCGTCTCAACTTCACTCGGGAGAAACATCGAGTCTTCGATGCGAATCCTTCGCATTGAGGACCCAAGGTAGCTTTTCCGTTCACCGACGTTACGCCACGAGGAGCAGGATCTTCTCGATTCGGGCGCAGAGTTTCTGCATCTCGCCGGGCGCCGTGTACTCCGCCGCCAGAATCGCGTTCCCCACGGCTATCGTTTCCTTAACCGATCGCGCCTGGATCCACATCCTGCCGTTCATCCCGGCGGCGAGCTCGTACGCCTGATTCCGGCCGAGCAGCCTGAACAACGGGCACTCCGGATTGAGCAGCTTCCTCACGAGGCTCAGCGAGCACGTGAACATCATGCCGTCTGAGCTCAGCACACCGAGGTCGTTCTCCTTGCCCTGCGAGTCCACGCACACCAATTCCGGCTCCATATCCTTGCTGGCGACCAACAGTCTGGCGTACACCAAGTCGCCGACCTGCACGTCGGGCCGATTCTTCTTCGTGGCGCCCTCGAAGGCCAAATAGGACAGCGTCGCCTGTTCGCTCGCTCCGATGTCCACCTTGTAAATGTCGCTGCTCTTCTGCGTCACTATACCGATCACGGTCTCGCCTCGATTAGGAATGTATCTGCGTGTGAGGAAAGACATTATTTAAAAATAGATCAGCCCCGCAATTTGCGTCTCGAGAAAGGCCAATTAAATTAAGTTCGAGTTGTTTCATTCTCGTCGAAAGCGAGGCTGCACGGGCATGATTGACGCGGAATGATAAAACGAGCGCATACCTTACTAATTAAAAAAATCAAATAAGTACCGCTAAGCTACTTTTTAATTTACAAGTATACAGTTATCTTTAGTGTTTACATTCAAACACTTGGCGCTCCCGGTAGCTCGGTTACTTTATATTTCTTTCTTGTAACGACGCAGTGTGCAACCAAACGAAACTGAGCACGAGTAATTAAAAGCTAATGAATACAAGATCTACCCCTTTTAGGGGTACAGCCCTCCAGACGGGATCTGTGCGCCACGACGCCCCCAGCGGTTTCCTCGCTCGTACCGTTTCTGGTAGCTGTCCACGTAGTAAACGGCCGGCTCGCGCTTCCTCAGGATGCCCGCTTTGCAGACGAGCACGGCGTCGCCCTCGCGGCGCAGCCCGGGACCCAGGATCACGGTCTCCTTCTCGTTCTTTCTCTCCTTCTTGACTGGCGTGACGCTCTTCAAACTGTCGCCCGGCATCACCACGTCGCCCACGTCGACCTCCATCCCGAAAGACCTATCTTCCTCTCTTTATTCGCGCGACACCAACGTACTTCCTCGAAGAGGCTCCGCCGCGCGCTCCGCCTAACCTCAAAACCGACCACGTGCGGCCGCTCTCGAGCGACGCGTAGTCGTCGCCATCGTATCGCGGGCTGAGGGCTGAAACAAACTCGTCCCGTGTACTTGTCGAAGGTAGGATTCTCGCGATTTCCCTGGAATCTGCTCCGGCCGACCGGACCCCGCGTATCTTCGTCCTCTCTCTTCTTCCCGCGCGTCGCCGATCCGTCGGTTCACCTCCTCTCGAGTGCAGAACAGTACAGTTGAGCGAAAAGAGAGCACTTTTTCTTCCTGCACTCGAAAAGAGATAGAGATATACACGTGTTCGGGCGCGGAGTGAAAAGAGCGCGGGAGATCCGAAGTGCGGAAAGTGCAAGTGGCGCGAAGGTACAGTTCGCCGGTGCAGGAACAGAAAACTAACCTCGGACTTCACGTGAGTGCAGCTACTTTTCGGCCGAACCTCCGGACTCCGGACGAGCCATGGACTGATGGACTGTCGGGAAGCGAGCAGCTGAGTACGCGCGCACATACGTGCACATCGGTCGAAATGGATGCACGGAGCGAGTCGAGTGGTGTCGCAAAACGTCCGGATGCCGCGAGTACGCGCACGCTGCGACGTAATCAGGAGACGGACAATCCTTGCTACAAGGTACCCGAGCGAGCCCGCACCCTCGTTCCCTTTTTACAGCGGCACAAGTTGCCGCGCCCGAGGAAAGACGCGAGACTACGAAAACGCCGGGAGAGGCCTAGCTAGGAAAGCAGCGCGTTACGCTGTCCTGCCCCGTCGTTAACGCGCCGCGTTCTCTCAACTTCCAGGAGCACCTCCAGTCCCTGAGATGCCTCGACTCCAACCAGACAGACCGCAGCGCGTGCGAGCCGTACTTTGTCAATTACAAGAACTGTAAAAAATTCTGGGTAATCTCTCCGACTCGAGGTCGGTTTGTGCGAGGCCGTAACTGTTACATTATATCGAAATCGATCCAAGTGACGAGAGTCGACTGTAACTGGTTAATTTTTGCCGATTCCGACAGTAGTCGACGGTTACGGCCTTGCGTAAACCAGCCTTCGCATGTCCACGTAAGATTGTACTTCCGACGGCGCTTATCCGACCTTCCTTGCAGAATACCGTAAGGGAAGACCGCAAGCTGAAAGGCATCAAGCCGTATCTGCCGCCCTTGGAGGAACGCGTCAAGATTAAGGCCGACTTCCTAAACTCCAAGAGGTGATAGATGTGGACACGCCTTGCTTTGTAAAAATATCCTTTATTTCGTGATATCCCTCGCGATTGCCTCGCAGTATCACGTCTGTAATATATATTACGTATGTATATAGTCCAACAAAGTTTACATGTAAGCTTGAAACATATTAAACCCACGTTGGAAAGAAACGCGCTCTTTCTCTAGTGTCCTCAGCTTTACCATCTAAAATATCATCTTTACGTCTTAATAAGCATATCTTAACGCAACTTACATACGCTTGGAGAACGTATCGTATCGACGTATCTACAGAGATGCGATTAAAACTGCACGTGGGGCACTTAAAAGTTAACGGAGGAGAGAGAAACTAGCTGTCGATGTTGCCGCATAATTACATTCTTCCCAAGTTTTACATTGCATTTTGCGGTAATCGTACACAATACAATTGCTGTTTGTACACACATCTTAACGCAAATGTACACTCGATACATAAAACAATTACGCACTCGATCCTTTCTTACTTGACATACACATTATGTTGTAAATGCAAGTACTACAACACATACAATGTTCTACAACTAAAAAGAAATGTACATGTATAATTTCCGATAATTTATACAATTTTCTTTTAGAACGCTAAAACGAGAAGAGGAAAAGAAGATACAGTTAAATAGATAGTGTTATTAGTTACATCGATTAATTGCGTCCGAGGGACGATACATGTCGAAAACGAAGAGGTGCATTTTTTTTAGTTTTCACTGCTCAACGAGAGCTCGGCAGCATTCAAAGAAAAAGTATTTGTACACACATGTTATACGTAAGCCCGGCGGAGTACCGCGGTGGAGAGAACGCTTTATGGACGAACCGCTGCTCTTGGAGATAAAGCGGTGACGCGAATGAGTATATCACAGTAAGATAGTCAAACACATTTCGGGCAAAATTTCGTTACTGCATGTAGAAAGAAATGGGCGATCAAGCGCAGGCACTATTTTCTTTTTCTTTTAGATATGTGGAGTAAAGTGGCGCTATCTCAAATCTCTGCGAGCAGCAATACTATCGTATTCCGCGTGTACGGCGCGTGTTCTCGTAAAAGGACGTGACTCTAGAAATTCCTTACTCGCTCGAGAAGTGTTTTGTCATGGTAGCTAATTCCTCGTGATTAATTCTAATTAGAAAAAAAGAAAGAGTCCGTACGTGTGTATGTGTGTGTCAGATCTCTTCTCCCTGCCTGCTTTTCCGTGTTTCAGATTTTATCGGTCTTCTGTTCTTTCGTATACGCGGCTCTTCGTTCTTAACATGCATCGTCGGCAAGTAGTCATTCGGAATGATCCTTTATGGAGAACGTCTGAATACGGAAGTGCCGGCACATTTGACGTACCTGCAATTATAAGATTGACGTTTACCCAAGAGTGCCTTGTCGACTGTAAAACTGCAAGTAATAAGTGTAACGAATTTTTCTACGCAATTCTCTCGACGCACACAGCTGCACGAGCATTATGTAACTGCAATTGTGATCGAACGTTTCGTGAACTTACCACGCAAGTGCCGTAATGAATGTGTGCCAGTAAGGCCACTACGGAGACTAAATACATAATTTCCAAATCTACACTGGGCAAGATAAACGAGAAAACGGCGGCCGCCGCGATTGGCAATAGCAGCCACGGCAATACCTCGCACCTGGTGCTACTCATCTGGGATACGATTAATCGACACTGCAACACGAATGACAATTGTACAGTTCATCAGGTTGCCAGTATTAATGTAAATAAAATTTCAAGTTTCAATCGACCTCAGCTGGCGACATTACATACGCTTTCACAACGTTTCGACCTTTGATTTAGGTCCTTATCAAGTGAAATCTAAGAGTAAATGTTTTACACACTTCTCACGTAATCTGTACACAAAACATTTACTTTTAGATCTCGCTTGATAAGGGCCTGAACCAAAGGTCGGAACGCTGTGAAAGCGTATTTAATAAATGTGGCCAGCTGAGGTCGATTGAAACTCGAGATTTTACAAACGATAATGTTGAAATGAAAGTAATACGGTAAATAATATTCAAATAGATAATACAACGACTAATGATGTTAAAATAAACATGTAATACGACGAGCAGTAAGTTTAACAGATAGAATTGCTAAGTGTATATCTTACGCATATATTGGAGAAAATAGTGCCGATAGCAAAGTATATTATTCTCGGATCCTTTTCTAAAATATTGCTGGGGGAGTGCATTATCCAGACCGTAGAAATTACGAAGAATAAAATTAAAGGCACCAAGGGCCTAATAGCCTCTGGAAACGTCCGCATTTTGCCGGTCTTATCCCTATAAGATCTGCAAGACGATGCAAAATAAGTATTGCGTTAATGCGAGAGGTTCGTCGATTTTGTTCTAAATAAATTATGAGTTTTTTCTTAAAGTGTAACGGCGATAATTTAACATGCAGATTATCTAATCGATACTCGTATATTGCAGTTATTCTTTACGGGAAATCTCGAAACTGTTCCGACTGGATTCGTCAGATGTTTCTACTAATAAATCACAGAAACTGTTATTTGCTGCGACGATAAAGCGGCACTCACTTGTATATGTTCCAAAGCACAACCGGTAGATTTGATACAAGCGCGCTAACGTAAAACAACATTTCAAACATCGTCCCCGCTGATAAACCACCTGGCAATTCAAATTTCCAAGCCTCGTGTCCACCTATGCTGGTAAGCGTAAATACAATGACAGTTGCCTACAAAATCAACAGAAGACCGATGTAAATCCTGCCGGGTCGGCGCGGGAACTGGTCGATTAGCAAAACATAAGGCCTGGTCTACAATGAGTTGGTAGTCGCTAGTCAGAAGTCGGGACCATATGTTGATCCTTTTCCTTTCTGGGTGGAAGAAAAAGGACCGACATATAGTTCTGACTTCCGACTAACAACCCATTGTAGACCGGGCCCAAGGTATACATGTTCGTCTCTCGTTAAAAGTGGCATTGTCCAAGCCGACTTACTAGCATGGAAGCGTCGTATCCCCAGGGGAGAAACAGCACGCCCGTGTTGTATTTCTCCCAGTGGCTCAGGTAGAAGTTAATAAATACGTTCCACAGTATGAAGTACATTCGCAACGGCGAGACGCTGTGGTCTGTCCTGCCGAAGACGGAGTACATGCACACCGTGATCAACATGGCGGTCCAACTGTCCAAGCCGTGGTCGAACAGCTCTCCCAGGGGACCGGACGTTTGTGTGCGCCTTGCCTGCTTCCCGTCTATCCCGTCTGCAACGTCACGGTTACAAATGAAATCGATTTACTGCCAGAGGATCCGCAATCTCTTTCGACCAAGCTACATTTATCACTCTCCGATCCTCGAATTACTTTCCAACGCTTAATTTTGGGTTCACGTGTCACCTTGAGACACGAGAGACACTTTTGGTGTCCGTTAACGCTCACGTGTTAATGTCCAAACTTAATGTATCAAGCACCAGGTGCACGTACCAAGCGTGTATGCCATAAAAATGTTAAAAGCGGCCACGGCAAAGACCCATCGTGGTATCGGAGGATATTCCGGCTTGTCGTCGCTGGACGCATAGAAGTAGTAGTCGTAAATCGCAAATAGCATGAAGTTTAGCACGGTAAAAAGGAATCCCGAGAAAGTTAGTACGTTTGGAGCAATCCACTTCGGACAATACTAAAACAGGAACGATTATATTCATGATTAGAGTGCTACGTCAAGAGAATTTTATTCTACCACATATACAATCAAAATACTGTGTCGAGAATATTTTATTCTGCTATAGCGCTACGAAATACAGCCCAAGATGATCCTCGTTAACACATTCCCAGCCATCGATGTCGATTTTACCTCACTTAAAGGTCCGCGGCTCGCTGCCCGACTTGACTTTGTGTCATTGTATATTTATAGGAAGGCGGACGATTTATATATTTACAAGCGTGACGCAAAGCAACTTTGTTTTCGCTCTCATGTCCATTTTAATGCGGGAAGTCCGCGGTTATGGGACTTTCTGAACTCTCAAGTTTTACATCGTACATCGGAATCACTGGCTGCGAACGTGCCAACAAGTCGACTGTTCCGCCTCGCCGGGACGCAGTGCGTACCTGTACCACCTTGTTCCAAAAGGGGTGCATGACGTACACGCTCAGGGGACTTGTGTCCAAGGAGCTATACTGAAATCAGAATAATTGGAAATAAATGCGTATCCTTGACATTTGGGGGATAAATGCTAAGGCACTTAATGAATTATACAGAAACGGTGACTGTATGGAATTTTAATCGCTATCGCACGCGGCGCATCGATATATCTGCAATCTCCCCGAATCGATATCGAGCCGCCCGTGGTGGTGCACGGTGAAAATCGTCGCCGCTCTCACCTTGTAGCTCTCGAACCCCGTGAGGTGCTCCTCCGTCAGGTACTCAACCTCGAACTTCAGCTTGCGATACATCCTGGAGTCTCGGGGGGGAGGCGGGGAGGGGATGGGATCTCGATCACCCTTGACCACGGGCCGGGCGTATTTCGGGGGTGATCGCGAATTAACAACGCGGCGTACGCGCGACGACGGGGGAGGCACCGGGGCCTCGAGGGGCGGCGGGCGCCAACGACGCGCGAGAGAAGAACTCGCGGAGTTTTTTTTGTCCCTCCCCGCGTAGGAGATGCCCGTCGCCTTATTTGTACCGCGCGCACAATCGTCTGTCACGTCGACTCATCGTGTTCCACGCACGCTCGTCACTGCTCCGTCACTCGCGCTTCCACCCGCGGCGAGCCCCGGCGACTCACTCCGCGCGGCCTCCCACGACCGCCGCGATTTCCGCTCGAAACGACGCAGGCCCACGCGCGCGCACCGACCGTCACCGACTCTCTCGCCGTCCCTCGCGCGACACGCACCACGCAGCGACGAAGCGCCGTCCCCGGAGCCAGGCGCGGGACACCAATTTACACGCGTATTACGTATGCACGCGAATCGGACGATCCCGGCTCGTAGTCCATAGTCGCCCCACGGACCGCACCATCGCACGCACGCCAATGAATGCGCGACATGCGTTTCCGCGTAGAGTGGCTGGAGAACGCGCGCGCGGCGCCGGCTGATCGTCCCCCGGCCCCGCCGATTCGCCCGTCAGCGATCGCCCCTCCCCCTGGTCCCGCCATCAAGCGCTTGCTGTTTGATCGACCGAGGCGAGAAAGAGAGAGAAAGATGCGAGCCAGAGTCGTCCGTCTTTTTTTTTCAAAATATATTGCGTCTACGGCCGGTATTCATAGTCAATTCCTATTTCAATGAATTATTTAAGCCAACGGCACACGGTACTATTTTTCCCACTGGATTGCTTACGAGAGCCAATCAGGATTTAAGCCAACGGCACACGGTACTATTTTGCCTACTGGATTGCTTACGAGAGCCAATCAGGATGCAGGGTTTTCGATCAGGTGACTTGAGGCTAAATCCTGATTGGCTCTCGTAAGGAATCCAGTAGGAAAAATAGTATCGTGTGCCGTTGGCTTTAGCTTTTAGTCACCTAATCCGAAACTCAGCATCCTTATTGGTTCTCGTAGGCAGTCCAGTAAGAAAAATCGTATCGTATGCCGTTGGCTTAATTTTTAGCCTGAATGTGACATTACACGTGTCGTACGGCAAACTTTTTAAGCGTATTGATTGGCTGCACGATAGTAAACTTTTCGAGTATCTAGAAATTTTCTATTCAGCAGCCAATTAAGGCTGGTATTACGTTTGTCGTACGACAAATTTTTTAAGCGTATTGATTGGCTGAAGGATAGTAAAATTCTCGAGTATCTAGAAACTTACTATTCAGCGGCCAATCGACACGCTTGAAAAATTTGTCGTACGACAAATGTAATAGTACCCTAACACGCTTAAAAAATTTGTCGTACGACAAATGTAATATTGGGCTAACAAAGCTCAGCTTAAAGCCCGTATCAGACTACGGATTGAGATTGGGATTAGACTGAAATTCGACCAGTCACAGTAAAGTTTACTAATCGCAAGTTTAGTAACTTTTACTCTAATTGGTCAATTTCCAATCTAATTTCAATCTCAATCCGGAGTCTGATACGGGCTTGACGCGTTCTTTGTCTCGTTCCAATCGCTTACTTCAGAAAGAGGCCGACGCGAATGAAACTAAAGCCCGCTGCAGACGATGCTATTTTTCCTGCTGGATTGCTTGCGATTTAGTAAATTACTATCATTGCACCACTCAGCATTCAGGATTCCTAGTAATTTACTAAATCGCAAGCAATCCAGCAGGAAAAATAGCATCGTCTGCAGCGGGCTTTACTGTAGATTCAAAGTTAAGCGACGTTTTGGTGAAACCGAGCCTGAGTTTTTAGTTTGTCAATACATTTTGAGTATTGATCCAGTTCGATTCAGACGAAACTCGCTATACTTTACGCCCAACCCGCACCGAATATCGAGCGACGTCGGTAATGTAGAGATCTGCCCCCGCCATCCTCGCCCCGACGCGCATTGGCGCATCGCGAGGCGACGGCCAATCGAATCGCCGCGCGGAGGACGGCCGACGGCCAATCGCGACGCGCGGCCCGATTACGCGGTGAACTGCGAACGATCCGAAGAGAGAGAGGTCTCTAGTTCCATGAAGTCTCGGGTCGGCCGTGACGGGCCGAGCGCGGGTGTAGGTTTTCGGCAGTTGACACCTTCGCGGGTGTTCTTGACGTGCGTTTGTATGATGACGTAAGCCGGCACCGGCGTTGCACCCCCAGCACGCTGCGCGTCCCGTTCGACCGTCCGACCGCCCGACCGCTCGGTGGGATGAAGCGGCGCTAATCTCCGCCGACTGACACACGCCGAGGAGCGACCGGTGTTCGCAGGCATGGGCGACGCACTCGCGGCTGTCACCTCTTGAAAATCCGTCAGCAGGTTCGTAATACTTGTACGCGCGCGTGTCGCTTGATACGCAAAATGATGCTAACGACTCCGACCTTGTGTCAACAGCTCTGGCACTCCGTAAAGCTGCCACCATGGCCTCCGCCACGGAGCAGCAGCAGCAGCAGCAGCAACAGCAGCAGCAGCAGCAGCAGACGACGCTGGAGTTTTATCAAGCGATGGCCGATTTTAAGAACATGTTCCCACAGATGGACGACGACGTGATAGAGGTGGGAGCACCGCGGACTAATGACACTGTCGTTTTATCCTTGGTAAGGTATTTGCATTCCGTTTTACGTCTGTCGCAGGCTGTGCTGAGATCCAATCAGGGTGCCGTGGACACCACGATCGACCAACTGCTCACCATGAGCACCGACAATGAGAACGAGAAGATCAGGAGCGAGATGGAGCAGAAGGAGGAGCTGCCGAGCACCGCCAAGTCACCCAGGAAAGACTCGGGCAAGTCGAGGAGCATTGAAAAGTGGCAGCCTCCGCTGCTGGGACCATTGCCGGACGCCTTTCTCAGGCTGCCCCAGCAGTTGTCGGACGACGGTACCGACCCGGCGTATTCGCAGGACAGCTCGATGCTGGAGGACGAGAGGATCGCCATGTTCCTGCAGAACGAGGAGTTCATGGCGGAGCTTCGTTGGAACGAAGACTTCCTGTCCACGTTGGAAAACGGTAAGGCACTGGGGAGTCTGCGAGGGGGTTGCGCCTCGAAGGAGAGAAAACTGGAACGCTCCCTTTCTCTTGTAGACTCGAAGCTGGAGAAATGCGGCAGCCAGGCCGGTCACGACGACGAGGATTTGTTCAAAGAAAGACTGAAAAACATGGGCAAACGTAAGCAAATGGATTTAGGAAGCGATCGTTCGTATTAAGAGCGTACGCGCGACTTACTTGTCTCTCTAACGACCAACACCCTTGCAGTATCCCGACGTAAATTCGCGCAACTTACGAAGGTGTTCACTCGCAGCAAGAAACGTGGCGGCAGGCAGTTGTTACCACCGACGGCTTCTTGCGACGACCTCCTGGACCCGGAGGAATCATCCAAGCCTCAATCCTAAAGAAAGATCTGTATATCCGTGCGATCCTGCTGGAATGTTCGCCTTCGCCTCTCGTCAAGGAGACGGGGGAGTTCAACGGCGTTTGCAGCTTAATGTAATTCAGTCGTCGCAACATCGCGGAGAGAAGCATATCTGTGCTGCAACTCTTGCGAGAGACGTGGCAACCACGTCGGGATCGCGCGAGATATAAGTTAATTAGCGATTCAAGTTTCTAGCTCACTCGACGGCTGACAATCAGCTGCGGAGATAATAGAGTTGCAAGGTCGAAGATCCGAAGGCGCGTAAGCGATAAAACGCGGAGTCCCTCGTAGTGTGAATATCAAGTGAGACACGTGACTGGGATAAAGAAGATTATCAAAAGATCCGTATCTCTCGGTAATTATGCAAGGTATACGTAGGGATTAATTAATCTTGAAGCATTAATCAATCTTAGTGCATTAATTAATCTTAATGTATTTTCTAGTGAGGACGCAGATCCGTTTGTTCTGATAAATTCAGTGTGATATTTTAACGATGTTGTGACGTAAATTTTATTTTAATAGATTTTATATTTTGTTGTGACGTACGTTGCTCGCGGTTATCCCTATTGCTGCGAATTGTTGCGTATTATTGCGTATAATCGTTTGAAGACTGACGCAAGAAAGTTTTACAGGGGTCCGTCGAGAGCGGGACGCTCTCGGTCGACTATCATTGATATTGGAAAGGTACTTAAGTCAAATTTAGAACGGCGGCTACCGTCTTACTTGAGCGAAATGACGATTGAAACAAAGGAAATTTTTATTGTACGCAGGGTACGCGATGCGTTTGCTTTCTAGCACGTATGGCTACGAAAGTAATTGATGTTGTATATATATGTCCATGTACATCGTACGCCGATAGTGCGTTAATGTTAATTAGGCACAATAGTTTATTGAAAATTTGTGAAGAAAAAGCGCAACATCGATTCGGATTGAAAAGGAAATGTGATTCTTTAGAAAATCCGATTCTCAAGAGGCCGGAGACCTGATCCGGTGAAATAGATAATTAATTTGTCGGGGAAAAAAATGGATGAAGGCTTATGTTACGCTCTCGTGACATTCACATTATTATATTCAATAATTTGCCGACGCCTCATTGAATAGTTTATCAGTTCAGTGTCGCGACGGGTAATTGAATTCAAAATTTGAGAATACTGGACGCCTTCATTCATTCTTCTTTTCGATTCTACTTGCTGCCGCAAGTAGCAGTTGCACCTCCCTTAGACATAAAATCCTAGTCATTCAGTCTAGCCATTATTTATTGAACGAAGCTCCGATATTGTAACGACATCGTGAATGTAGAAAATATTTATAAAAATGACCGTAAACAGTCGTAAGTAATTTACAACATGTGCTATGACGACAACACGTATGGGAATAAATCGGAAGAGATGCTGGAATGGGGATTATATTTATTCAAACTTTCGTACGCGATCAACAATTAGGAAAGAAATGGCTGCGAACGCGCATCTGTCTAAATCGTCGTGATCCGCGCTAACCATCTCTCCCCTGGCACGAAATCGACTTGAGTAACCAGTGCCAAAGAGCACGGTATTGAAATATCGATATCAAAATGAGCAGATTGTCTTGCGCTACGTGTCAGGTTGCTTGAAGAACACCCTGGCACCGGAGAGGCTATAATACAACAGTTGAAACTCTGCGTTTCTCTCGGTGAGCCGTTGAAGCGTGAGCGCCCTGGTCTGCTGGAGCTTCTCGTCGCCGTGGTCGTCCTTGCGCTCGGCGGCGAGCCTCTCCTGGGCGATGTGCTGTTCCACCGTCTTGAACCAGTGAAGGCCGTCCAGCTCGGCGCTCTGATCGAGCAGCTCGTTAATGTAGGCAATACCCATGGCGAAGCCGTCGTCGGTGAAGGCCGCGCCGGTTTGGTTCTTCTTGAACATCTTCTCCTTGTTGGACACGGAATTGTCGACGAAACTGAGCGTTAGTGGCGGCACGATGGCGTAGAACTGCTGCAGATGATAGGACTTTGCGTCGCGGAACGCCGGCGCGAACACGTCGACTAGCAGCTTGAAGTATTGAATACCCTCGGTGAAGTTGCGCACCAGGTCGGCGATGTCGTTCTCCAGCCGTCTGGCCGCGGCCTGCGTCGTGGCGCTGTAATTCAGCCCGCGACAGAGCGACTCGAACGACACCGTTCTCTCGATATCCGGCAGGAAGGACACCGCGTTGGAGCTGGCGTGGAGGCCGCCGGAGCGGATCAGCCGCACGTAACCGAGCGCGTTGCCGATCTGCGTGATCAGCTGGCGAAACTGATCGAGGTAGCTCAGCCCGTCGGCGGTCATCCCCAGTTTCCGGATACCCTTCTGAAACTTCTCCGCCCGTTCGTACGCGTACGGAGCGGCGCCGGCCTCCCGCTGCGCTCGCACGAACCTGATGTCGCGCATTAGCCGCGACTTGATGTGCTCGTCGAAGAGAAACTGCGAAAAAGTGTGCAGCTTGACGCGCAGAAACTGGTAGACGAAGTTCACCGTGGTGCTCATGATGCCGGTGCCGTGGGTGCGAATCGAGTTGGCTATGTGCCGGATGCCGATGGTGTTGAGGTGCTTGTTGCCGCTGCTGTGCTCCACGAACGTCTGCGTGTTCAGGTTGTATAGGTACCTGCGACGAGAGACGACGCGCATACGTTGATAAATCTAGAAATACATCATGAATATTAAAGTTAACAATTGTGATTACCTGGAAACGAACACGTGGATGTTACGCATAATCTCTAGGGCGTCCAGGCCCTGCTCGAGAGTCTGCGTCGGCAGATGGTCCTGCACGGTGTCCAGGCTCATCTTGTAGCTGGCCAGCGCGTGCATCGTCCGGTAGGTTCTCCAATCGTGCAGGGCCACTGTCGTCAGATTGTAAAACATGTCGTCCAGGTAATGCTCGACGAATCTCTTGGTGCAGATCATGTTTTCGGCGAGAGGTAGCGGCGGGACTCGCACCACCCTACCGCCGTCCTTCGCGCCGATGTTGAAGGGATTCGTCGAGTCCAGTTTGAGGTGAGCGTGCACGTGCAGCCGCAGGCTGGTCTCGATTTCGTGACAGGCCGGTTTCAGTACGTTCTTCACCAGGCTCTCTCTCAGCTCCGCGATCCGCTTCGCCCTCAGCTCGGCGAACTCCTGCTCGGCCACGGCGCTGTTGAAGGCGGCGAACAGGTGGGCCACGTGGCAGACGCCGGTACTGCCGTCGACGACCGAGGAGAGATAGGCGGGCAACATGTTCTGATGGTGCAGCAGCAGCGAGTAGTCGCCGTGTTCGTCGACCAGCTCGTACAGCTCGGCCACGGCGTCGTAGCTGTCCAGCAGGAACCGCAGTTTCACCACGTCCTCCTCGCGGAAGGTATCTGCCAGCTGGGTGGCGCACGCCAGCGCGCAGCGCACGATCAGCCGCCTGTCCGCGCTCGCTGGGCCGCCTATCAGTCGCATACTCAGCCCTATCAGCGACAGCGCGTCCAGCCGTTCCCTGCTGTAACCCTTGTCCCTCTGAACGAGAGCCTTGCGCGCCGTTTCCAGCATCACCAGCACGTAGTAGGCCAGGTACTGCAGCACCTGCGCCTGCGACTGCACCACGACCGGCCCGAGCGCGTAGAACGTCGTCTGCAGGGACTTGTGCAGCTCGACGAGCCTGCAGATCAGTTGGACCGTGCCGCGGCTCATCGGCCTCGACAGCGCGGCGTGCAGATTCGTCACGAACGCGACGGTCTCCCGCATCTGCGACAGCAGTGCCAGCAGATCCGTCAGCAGCGTACGCTTCTGCCCAATGTCCGACACCTGGAGATTGGTCCTCGTAAGAATGCTCTGCATCTCCACGCACCAGGTCGTCCCCCGTTGTATCAGACCGTTGACCGTGACCGGCAGCCGTTGCGTGCGCGCCTGCAGAATCTTCTCGCCTACCTGCGGGCTCACGACGTTGCTGCCGGCCTCCTTCGGCACGACGTCGCCGAGGAACCTGCTCGGCACCCACAGCACGTTACCCACCAGCGTGACCGCGTAGAATCTCTTGTTGGCCTCCGTCACCCTCTTCATCAGCTTCTTGTCGCACGCGCCGAACAGCTTCAGCACCACGGCGACCCCGACGTTGGCCCTCACCCAGTTTCTGTTCAACGCCGCGTAATCGTTCGACTTGCCCTCCACGTCCGCGATCATGGTCTTGAGATAGCTGACGATCTGCTCGCTCATGACCGCGCCCTTGTTCACGTCCATCACGTGCTCGATCGCCTTGAGAAACATGTTCTTCCGCAGCAGCTTCTCCTGCAGATCCTTGAGCAGACGGTCGAACGTCTCCAGCTTCGTCTCGGCGACGCCGAACTGCGACGGGCTGTGCATCATCGAGCGCACGTGCATCCTGTACTTCTTCCACTGCTCCAGTATTGCCGGTTGAGCGTCGACGATCTCGTCGAGGGTCACGAGGATCACGAACAGATCCACGAAGCCCTCCAGCAGGACGGGTAGGTAAATCTCGTGGACGGCGCCGGACAGGCTCGCCAGCTGCCGCGTCGTCAGCTGCACGACCGCCGACATTCGACTGGCGAAAACCGACAGGTCCAGAAGATCCGACAGCAGCCTGGCCACGCCGGCGAGATCGTCGTCCATGCACCTCTCGCCGTGGGCGAAGAGCTTGGCGTAAAAACCAGCCGCCTCCGCCCTCAGCATCCTGATCTCCCTGCACGTGCCCGCCACCGCCGCCAGCAGCTTGGACAGAACCTTGTTCTCCATCTCCACCAGGGAGAGGATGCCGATGTCCTCGCACGTCTTGTGGACCAGGCGCAGGGGACCCTCGACGATGTGCTCCAACGTTGAGTCGCCCCGCCACGACTTCTCCACCAGGTTCTCGAAGAACTCGCCGTACTTGCGCAGGTGCATGGCACCCGCGGCCTTGTAGATGCTCTCATCCTTCTTCGAGTTCCACGTCGGCGCCTCTATCATCTTTCATCCGCTCGAGGCCCGCGATAATTGTCGGGGGGCACGTGCGACTGTAGGATTTTTATCATCAATACACGCGTCACAAGTTTGACAATAATATCAGTCGCTTAAGTTAGAACCTTCGGCTTTTCACGCCTCTCGGTAACAATTGTTCGACGCAACAACTTACCTACCGCCTGTCTCTTTACCTGCGTTTGTATCGTTTATCTCGTGCATTCGAGCTTAAATAACAACGCAATTATTCTAGTTTCGCCCAGTGTCCGAGCCATCGTTGTTGCTCCGTCCAGCTGTCGCGCCGGACACTTGTACCCCCCGAGAAGGTGGCTAATGCGACATAAATCATCGCGTCCCGCTTACACGCGGTAGATGGCAATGTTCTCCAAGAGTATCGACAGCCGGTACTTTCCACCCGGCGGCTCGATCATGGATCTTTTCCTCTAGCGTCAACCCACGAGAAATTTTCACGAGTTCACGCCGGAGGACAAGATTCAAACCCCTGGACGTTATAAAATTTCCCGGAATGGATTCCAATCGAAATTAACATCAACACCGTACAATAAACGCAACTGAGCTAACGGCTAATTCGAGACAGCGTTCGGAATCGCGAAGAAATTGCGAAACAAAGTCCAGACCTGCGTGGATCTCCACCATTTTATTATATCATTACAGGAAGTTATTTCTAAGCAAAAAAAAAAACAGCGAGATAGAAATTATATGATGCCGATCTTGTTGGCGACGTCGAGCGCGTCGTAGTCGCGCGTCAGACGCACGTACGCCTTCTTCTTGCCGTCCGGCCTGATCAGAGTGTTCACCTTCGCTACGTCGACGTCGTAGAGCTTCTTGATCGACGCCTTGATGTGATACTTGTTGGCGCGGGTGTGCACGATGAACACGAGGGTGTTGTTGTCCTCGATCTTCTTCATCGCCGCCTCCGTCGTCAACGGGAATTTTATGATGTTGAACGCGTCCATGCTGAAACACAAGCGCGGGACTCGAGAGAGAGAGAGAATCGCACAGGCAGAGTTCACTTTCGAGCGCCACTTACCGATTTCTGTTCGGCACGGATTTGCGCGGGTACTTGGGATTCCTCGGCGGCCTGAAGGTCTTGGGCCTGTGGAAGTGGACGGACGTCCTGATCTTCCGCACTCTGGAGCCGTGGACTCCCTTCAGGATCTACGAAGCAAGAAACGCCAACAGTCAGACCCCATAATTATCCAGTGCACACGTGCGTACACGGTGTATCCTTCGGATCGCTCAGTACTGTGTTAAAAAGGTATTTTCACGGAAATTCAAAGAGATTCCCACACTCAAATTCATCATGAGAAAAGTCGTGTCGCCTCAACGAAATGAATTCCAGGCCTAGTTTCGGCCTCGAGTACCTTCTTCTGCGCCTTGAGCGCCTTCTGAAGGGGAGCCGCCGGCTTGCCGCCCTTCGGGGTCTTCTTGGCAGCCTGCACATTCTTCTTCGGTTTGCTGATCAGCGGTTTGCTGGCGAGCTTGAGCGCAGGCTTGGCCGCAGGTTTGGCGGCCGGCTTGGCGGCCGCTGCTGGTTTAGCCGCCGCCGGCTTCTTCGCGGCAGCAGGCTTGGCCGCGGGCTTCGTCACCTTCGAGGTGGACGCTGCCGTGGCCGGCTTCTTCTCGGCCTTCTTCTCAGTTTTCTTCTCCGCAGGCTTACCTACGGGAGAGAGCAGCGCGGAACTGGATTAATAATCGTGCAGACAAGGCTGGTCTACAATACATGGAGTAAGCTGGAGTAAGCTGGAGTAAGGAGTAGGAGTAAGAAATAAAA